AATGAAAACAAATAATTGACATTTTGTGCCGCTAACGCTAACTCTTTCGTTTGGTTTTCACGCCGGCGAAAAAGTATGACGCTGACTCGTGACTCTCTGGTTGCGTTTTGACTCTAAGCTGGAAGTAGTTCCTAAACAAGGAGGAGTAGCCAACATTATTGTAAATCTTGTTGTTTCGAGTTTCTTCACTGGCGCCCAACGTGGGGCATGCTTTATTGACGTCCAACGTGGGGCAAGCCACATTGACACCCAAGGTCGAGCTTCTTTATCGACGCCCAGCATGAGGCCTGCTTCATTAACGTCCAGCGTGCGTTAATCCCTAATATTTAATTAGAACCAATGTCCAAAAGCTCGATCTATGGGGACCACCTTAAAAAGTAGACAACTTTGGATAAGTTCTTGTATGAAAATTGTCTACGCAGTAAGAACCCAAAATACTAAACTACAGCTGATGCACGCAAAATTTATCAAGGCTTTAATTTTTGGCATAAGAAAAAATCTTAAAATTACAACGTTTATTATATTGATCAAAAACGTTGATATAAAATAAGAATATGAATATATTATAGTAATCTCGAAAAAGTTGCACATTTTCGCGAAATATGAGAAAAATAATAGAAAAATAGGAGATGATGTCATTATTTTCATGATATTCATGACATACGCATCGAACAATTAATATTAAAATATCTACATATTCTAAACACCACGATAAATCAAATGATATCAAAATCACACATGTCTGTGTAGGGTTTGTAAATTACAGCGACAACAAAACAAGATATTAAGGAAAATTATTTGTTTTCGGTTCGAAGCAATAATTGGTCGAGTAGATTCTTGCAGTACGGGAACAGACCAAATGTTATCATAATAATTTTTTATACCCTACACAACTATGTTGTCAGGGTATTATAGCTTTGTTCCGCCGTAAGAATTTTGTAACGCCGCGAAATATACCGATCGTCTTATCTCGACTAGCTGAGTCGATCTAGACATGTGTGTCCGTCCGTCTGTCCATTATGATTTGTAAACACGATACAGACCACAGTTATGGACCAATCTTCACGAAATTTTGCATGTAGGAAGGGTTTTGGCCAATGAAGACCCCTATTGTTTTTGGTAAAGATCGGTTAATATTTAGGGGATGATATGGACCAAATATTTAATTTTTGTCGGTTCTGATCATCGCGACATTTTACATGCAGAAGAGGATTAGGCCAGAGAATATGAATGCCTGCTTTGAAAAAATTGGACATTTTTTAGGGTCAAATGGAAACTGACTTTTCTGTGAAAAATGACAAAATTTGTATTCTATGGCGTATATATTTACTCGTTACGCATATAGACCCGCGAAGTTGATAGTGTATCCAAGAAGAATGGTTGACCTTCAAAATGACTCCAATTACGTTGTCGTAAGTACCAGGATGTGGGAGTTACACACAAATATTTACAGGTGCTTACGTATTCAGATATTATTTAGTAACCCATTACCTCATTAGAGGGCGGAAATATAGCGACAACGCCTATAATTTTCAATAATGATCTGATTAAAATTTTGGGATGAAGTGGACCGAAAACTTAATTTTTTGTGTGTTTTCTCGTCGAATATAGGCGAACATCACAACACAACCCACCGTGAAGGGAATCGGAATAAATCCAATCTTCCAATCCATGTATATTTTGCGAAGTTTCATTTGACGGCTAAGATGTACTACATGTTGCATTGAAGTACCCAAAAACTCGTAAAACGCGAATAATTTCCGAAAAGTCCATATGCCTTCAACGCGCATCCGATTTCGGTGCACTCTAAAAAAATACATCGATCTATACCTATAGGGTGGAGTAGATGATAGATACCAAGCAACGGCTCTGATTGGCTTTAACATGGCGAAGTCCAGGTTTATCTTGGTCCCTCTTTTATCTCAATTGCGGACACTGACCTCCCCGCGGTGCCACCTGGTGAGCTATTTAGATTTAGTAGATTTTAATGCCAAAATCGGAAAATTCAGCCTCCATGAAGAAACATCAGACGATGGCATGACGTTGATTGACTTCGCGGCATCAAAAAACATGGTAGTTAGCAGCACCAGATTCAAGCATCTCGATCATGTTGTGATAGACGGAAGGCATTTATCCAGTGTTCTAGACGTCCGATCAATCCGGGGAGCGAATTCGACCATTACCTTGTGGCAGCCATGGTACGCATCCGTCTTAATATAGCAGCAAAGGTGCGATCTAATGTAACACGGAAACTCGACGTCGAAAAGATGCAAACACAACTGATAGCAGAAGCCTACTTCGCTCAACTTACCCAACTGCTTGACGAAAGCACCTCTTGTTCCGATAATAATATAGAAGCACAATGGCAGAGAATTGCCCACTCTCTACAAACTGCAGCAAAAGCAACACTTGGGTATCAAAGACCACCATCAAGAATTCCGTGGTAAGATCAGGAGTGTTGTAATGCTACTGATAGTCCAAAAATTCTACCAACGGGTAAAGGCACATCCTCCTGTAGAGATAAAGAAGGAAACCTGGTGACAGATACAGACAGCATGTTGAGGATCTGGAAGGAGCATTTTGAAAAACTTCTGGTATCAAATAGTGGCACTAAAGTGGATACCCTAGAACCAATAATAGATGACTGTATAGAGTGTATATCACCTAGCCAAAATGAAGTCAGAATAGCAATCAATCGGCTGAAGAATAATAAAGCAGCTAGTGCCAATGGGTTACAAGCCGATCTATTCAAGACTGGTGGCCAGATGTAAGGAGCATGCACCAGCTGATTAATACAATTTGGCTAGAAGAATGCATGCCCAATGATTGGAACTTCAGCATCCTGAGGTTCCAATGCGGCTTCAGACCTGGCAAATCCACCATTGACCAGATTTTTACTCTGCGCCAAATCCTGAAAAAAAACCCACGAAAAACACATCGACACATTCCACATATTTGTCGACTATAAAGCCGCATTCTACAGCCCTATCCGTTCAGAGGTGTATAAAGCCATGTCCGCGTTTGGCATTTCTGCAAAATTAAACCGGCTATGGAGGATAACTTTAACAGGCACAAGATCAGCAGTTAAAGTCGTAAAGGATCTCTCGGAACCCTTTAATACCGAACGAGGATTCAGACAAGGTGATAGTTTGTCGTGTGACCTTGTTAACATTCTGCTGGGAAAGGTCATGTGAGATGCAAATGTCAACTGAAATGACAATCTGTACACCAAGCAACACATGTTACTCACCTTGCGAGCGGTAACAGCCATCTTTGAACGAATTGAGAAGGAGTCTGCCAAAGTGGGCCTGACAGTAATTGACGAGAAGTTCAAGCTGATGTTATCAACGCGCAAGACCTCTAGTATACTCCGACCAACTATGGAACTTGAAAACTATAGCTTCGACGTAGTTAACGATTTTATATACCTTGGTACCGCAATAAATAAAACGAATGATATCAGTTTTGAAATTCGGAGAAGAATAGTGTTGAACAACAGATGTTACTATGGTCTGAGTAAGCAATTCAAAAACAAGGCCACCTCTCGCCAAGCGCACATTCTACTAGACACTGATACTACCCATGCTGTTGTATGGATCTGAAGCATGGGTACTTGTGCATGGCTACTTGCCTCTTGCACTCCAAGAGGCAGCTCTTGTAGTATTTGAGAAAAATTCTCCGGAAGATCCATGCGTCGACAGTGAATATCGCCGTTGAATGAACAATGAGCTGTTCTCGGCCATTGACAGACGTATCGAGCTGCAGCAACTATGGATGAAGATGCCCCAGCTCAAAGAGCATATACAAACGAATCATCTGATAGTTCACACAGAAGGGGAAGGCCACGAATCCGATGGAAAGATCAAGTGGAAGACAACATTGACGAACATGGTCTTTCAAATTCGAAGAACTGCGCAAAAGATCGACGCGGCTGGAATGTTCTGTCACAAGTCAGAATAAAACTTTAAACTATACAAATTATCACTTTTTTCTTCTAACCCTATTTCGCTTATTCCATTCTTATTTTATCTTTCGAAGACGTCTTCAAAACCCAGATAACGGAAGAGGTCAGTCTCATGGAATACGCTCAATATCCAGAGAATAATTCTTCTATCTCGATAACACTTCTTCTTATAAATCTACGATGTGTTTATGTCGAGGACCTTTAAACCTTACGAAACATCTTATATTCCTATATTACTCTATTCGTAGAGAAAGTATTTTGTGATCGATAACCCATTCTAGTAATACATAATCTCATCTATCCCGATAATCATGTTGCACCTGTCCTGCCCATAGAAATCTTTTTCTGTCCATCGAAGACCTTTCCAATCCACAGAAAACCTCTTATTGCATAGCCTCTTATTCCTGTAACTTATCTAACTATCAGCAATTATTACCATTTACCCTTTAACGAAACCACTGTTCCACTTTTGCATCGATTTAAAAAATTAACACCTCATCAGTGGAAGACGAAAACAAACACCGGCAACTTGTTCCGCTAGTTTCATGGACTAGCCATGAATGCTTCTGCTGCTACGGCTGTAGCTTCTTGTGAATCATTTCAAAAATAGAAAACTGTTAAAATTTTTCAGGGCACACATCGCACAATTGAAACGCAGAACATTGGCTCTGAGAGATCGACCGTCAGAGAGAACTCAGCAACAAATTTTGATTGTCGAACAAGCAAAGTGTGTGTCTCCAGTATCACAGTTACCATTTTATTTGCTGTCCAAAAATCCCCCAATGCCATTATGATGAAAACCCCAACATTCTACACATCATCTTCTACATTATGTTGTTGTTGAGGTCGCTGTTTATGTTGGAGCTTCTATGCTAAATATTGTGTAAATAATCGAAAATAGTGATATTGACAGTGTGCTATGAAATGGAAATATATAGAAGCCTATGGCCCAAAACAACATTCAGTTAAATTCCATTCGATTAGTAGTTTAGTGAAGACGGCGGAGATTACATATCCAAAGAAAAAGATTGGCAACATGAAGTGGTTAAGGAATTCTGTATTCTTTGTGGTAATATTGCAAATTAATTTGATTTGCGGCACACCAATATTGGGTGGAGGTAGTGAAGCGAGCAGCAGCAGTGCAGTAGCCACAGCAACTGCTACAGGTGGTGGTGTAGCAACGGCCTCTGCCTCGGCATCAGCTTCGACAGCTTCCAGTGGTTTTGCTCCCAGCGGTTATGGATCATATTATTATCCCTCGTTTGTCCAACAAGTTCCCGTCCAGATTCAAACAATTCCCGTTGTTCAAGCATATCCTGTATACTCGGCTCCAAGTGCTATTGGCGGTCTGGGTGCATTTGGTGGAGCTGGTTTTGGTGGTGGTTTCAAAAAATATCACGAAACATATACCGTTCGTGGTCGTGGATTCGGCGGTTTCGGTGGTCATGGTCTGGGCGGCCTAGGTGGCGGATTTGGTGGTGGCCGTTTTAAGGTGCATTATTCGAGTGGTGGTGCTGGTGCATTCGGCGGAGCTGGTCTCATTGGTGGCGGTGGTGCATTATTAGGTTAAGAAATCGAGAATAAGGAAATAAAATTACAAATAAGAGATAACACTTTTTATACTTTTTTGGATATGGGTCTACTAATAGAGGTCTTTTATGAATGGTCTTTTGTGGATAGAAGATGATTTCTATTGATAGAAGGGTCTTCTATGGATATAAGAGGTCTTCTATGCATAGAAGAGGTCTTCTATGGATAGAAGAGGCCTTCTATGGACAGAAGAGGTATTCTATGGATAGAAGAGGTCTTCTATGGATAGCAGAAGCCTTATATGGATAGAAAACGTGTTCTATGGATGGAAGATTTTTCTATGGATATAAAAGGTCTTATATAGATAGTGGAGGTCTTCCATGGATAGAAGAGGCCTACTGTGGATTGGAAGGGTCTTCTATGGACTGAAGAGTTCGTCCATGGATTGAAGAGTCTTCTATGGATTGAAGAGGTCTTCTTTGGATAGAATAGGTCTTCTAGAAGAAGTCTTCTTTGGATAGAATAGGTCTTCTAGAAGAAGTCTTCTATGGATAGAAGAGGTCTTCTAGGGATAGAAGAGATCCTCTGTGGATAAAAGAGGTTTTTCTATGGACAGAGGAGGTCTTTTGTGGATAGAAGGGGTCTTTTGTGGATAGAAGAGACCTTCTATTGTAGGAAAGGTGTTCTCCCGGATTGAAGAGGGTTCTATGGATATTGGAGGTCTTCTATGGATATGGGAGATCTTCAATGGATACAAGAGGTCTTCTATGAATAGAAAATGTCTTCTATGGATAGAAGAGGTCTGCTATGGATTGAAGAGGTCTTCTATGGATAGAGGAGGTCTTCTATGGGTAGAAGAGATCTTCTATGGATAGAAGAGATCTTCTATGGGTAGAAGAGGTCTTCTATGGATAGAAGAGGTCTTCTATAGATAAGGTTTTTTATGGATGGAAGAGGATAGATGAGGTCTTCTGTGGAAAGATGAGGTCTTCTAAGGATGGAGGTCTTTTGTGAATAGGAAATTTTTTCTATGGATAGAAGAGGTTTTCTGTGGTAGAAGAGGTCTTTCGTACATAAAAGAGGTATTCTATGGACAGGGGAGGTCTTCTGTGGATAGAGGTGGTCTTCTATGGATAGAACAGGTATTCTATGGATTGAAGAGGTCTTCTATCTTCCTGCTACAGCCCGGCAAGGGTGGTAGTAGAGGTGGCAGCACTCTCATTTGTTGCCATTAGGAACGTCTATGATATATTCTCTCCACAAAGTGATTCTTCAGGACACAATAAATATAAAAATGGCTTATTATGGTTTTTAATTAATTTGCAATAGCTTTATTTATAATTAAAGATCAAAACATTCATTTTATATTTCCGCAAAAAAATATTTCAATTCCACCTTTCAATAATCCGCTTTAGCACACTAAAACGCTTCGAACCCAATTCAGCGATAAAAATCACCACAGCAATCCCGTTCATGGCAACATAAACGTAGTAAAGGCCAATCAAATGTTTATGGGTTATTTGACGAATTTCACCCGAATTTATGTGACCCTTAGGATTACGAAAATACGGATGGACCCATTGACGGGCTACTAACGAAGTAATGCCGGCATCCGAGAGCAACTTAAATTTCCGATTAAAACTGGGCAATAGAATTGAATGTTTGGGAAAATACACCACACAATGATACAAATAGATGACCTCATCCACATAGGTTAGGGTCGATGTCTTCCAATTGATCATATTGTAATATGACATAAAATCCAACACTTCTGTGGTTGTAAATGGCATATCCACAGCGTTGACGACATCCAATCGCCCCACTGTATCCGATATTATTATGGTTTTATTGGGTGGATAGAAGTCCCGATATATCGATGATAGCAAAGTGTAATCCTTATCGATTAGCTCATGTATGGTCTTTGGGGTGGATTGCCGTTTTGCCAGTCGCAGTGTATCAAACATTTTACCCTGATAGAAATTACGCAGCTGCATTGTCCACAGCAGCCAGGCGGCAAAAAGGAAACGAGCGAAATTCCGCCGTGGAACCGTATAGCTTGGGAGAGGACTTCCCAGCAACGTTACAAATAAATGATGTATGGCATATTTGTTGTGAGCTCCCAATATGAAGTTGCGTACCCTACGTTTGCCACACCGTTCTACCCAATTGATTAGGGCAATAAGGATTAAAAGTTGAGCCAGAAGTACCTGCCATGTATTTATTTGCAATGGATTCAACAGTTGTGTTATCGGCCCTAATGGACGTCCTCCGCGTACTACGAAAACATACGGCGATGGATGATGTGTATAGGAAATGCTAAATTGCTGGCCATTCGGCATAAGGGCACCCAGGCCGCCAATAGCCATATCAGCGCGTTGTTCATAGAGCTGGGAAAGAGAGGGAGAGAGAGAGTGAGAGAGTGAGAAAAGACGAAGTAAAACAATAAATTCATGGAGATTTTTGCAAATATGTTTGAAATAATTATTAGAACCCGTTTAATCCATAGAAAACCTCTGCTGTCCCTAACATTAAACATTTGTCTAGTCATCAGACTAGACAGAATACCTCTTCTGGCTAGAGAAGACGTCTTCTATAGCAGAACATCTTTTTTGCCTACTGGAGACCTCTTCTGCGCACCGAAGACCACTTCTGCCCACAGAAGTCCTCTTCTGTTCACAGAAAACCTCTTCAGCCCATAGTATACCTCTTCTGTCCACATAAGACGTCTTCTGCGCTCCAAAGACCTCATCTGTCCACAGATGACCACTTCTGTCTTCAGAACACCACTCCTGTCTACAGAAGACCTCTTCTGGTTACAGAAGGCCTCTTCTGCCTAAAGAAGACCTCTCCTGTCCAAAGAAGACCTATGACTATAGAAGACCTCTTCTCTTTTTTGTCTACAGAAGACCGACGAGTTCTGCGCATCAAAAACCTCTTCTGTCCACATAAGACCTCTGCTGCCCACCGAAGACCTCCTATGTCTACAGAAGACCACTTCTGTCCACAGAAGGCCTCTTCTGTCTACAGAATACCTCTTCTGTCCACGAAAGACCTCTTGTTCCTACGGAATACCCCGTCTTGATACAGAGTACTTACTCTGACTACAGAAATCCTTTTCTGCCTATAGAAAGCTTCTTCTGGCTACAAAAGACCTCTTTTGTCTACAGAAGATCTCTGCTACCTGCAGAAGATCATTTCTGAGTATAAAAATCATTGTCTGGCTATAGAAGACCTCTTCTATATACAGAGTCTTTCTGTCTTCCGACTTCACAAGACGCTTCGGTCTAAAAAAGGCCTCTTCTGTTTACAGAAGTATTTCTTCTGGCTAGAGAAGACCTCTTCTGTCTGTCTGTCCCTAAAATACCTTTTCGGCCCATAAAGAGTTTTACTATGGCTAACATCGGACTTCTGCAGCACATTTGGATAGAAGACCTCCTTTATCCATAGGTGGCCTCATCCATGCATTAAATGTTTTTTTAACTGATAGAGGTCCTCCACAATCGACATAAAATCTCCAAATCTCCTTTCTTACTTACATCTGCTAGACATCCCGTGAAATTGTGTACATTTCCCGGATTATGGAAGGTCTGCGGAAAACGATATTCCAATTTGATATTCATTGTTGAGGCGACCAACTTCAAAATTTCTCCTTCGATACCACCTAAACGATGCATTTCTTTCAACTGAGTTTCATTGCGCTTATCTCCATTAAATATTAACATCGGAGCTATAATCCGACCACACACTGTCAACTTGCAGCCATGGAAATTCTTCATATTATCCGGAAATAGATAATCATAACGAAATCGACCATTTTCGTAACGATTGATTTCCTTCATTGTCATTTCGGTGTTGCAATAGTCACCCGTGTACAGCGAATAGGTGTGGAAACTAATGAAATTCTCCTGCACAGGTCTGGTCATGATCACTACATTCTTTACATTCATTTTACGACAAATTTCAAATATTTTCATCATATCTTCGTTGAAGTGCCTTTGATAGAGCATAAACCAGGTAAAGACAATGAAGAAGTAATACTGACGATCGTGAAGGGTTTTGGGAATGTTCACTTGAAGGGCTCTGAAATTGCAAACAAAAAATATGGAATAGAAGTAGAGAGGGCGGTATTAATTACTTGTTATTCTAAGGTGCTGAAATGTGCTTGGCTATTAAATTCTCGCAGCAGATAAATCAAATTCAAATTATTATTGAGATTATTGAGAAAGAATTTTAAAACTGTCGAATGATAGAGACGATGTTGATCACAAAAGTCGAGACAATTTTCCATAATAATTAAAGTGTTGGTCCGTGGACTAATATATCTCATGACCATGTACAATGCGACCCGACCATATTCCATTAATTCGTTCAGTGGATTTCCAATATCTCCCAAAAGATGATATGTATAATCACTATAGGACAGTGCCCATCCGAATAGGGAGGTGCAAATTAATAAGGCGAATTTCTTTTGCATGTTTTTAGTTAATTTTTTTGCTCTCAAAACTGTTTTCAACTTATTACGGCAAAATTTGAAATTGAACTACTCGCATATAAAATAATTATTTCGTAGCTTGTTACAATGTTAGAGATTTTATTCGAAAGATTATTTTGTTATTAATTGTCCTTCATTACAATTTCAATATTAATATTCAATTCATATCAATACTCCAATGAGATAATGCAAATACGTTAACTGATTATGGTCAGGGAAGGGAATAACAGTTGCTGTAGAATTTGGATTCACAGGGTCCCAAAAATAAACAAATATCCGAATTAGGTCCCATTGAATGGGAATTACGAAGCGTTGGTGCTCGAATCCTACTAAATCGATTTCAACATAATAATTTTTATATTTTATGAATGGGCACTACTTTCTCGATCTCCCCGATGGATCAATCCAAATAGTGCTATCAGAGTTTTTCTTTAAATTTTTTTGTTCCTCTCGGCCGCATACTGCTAATAAATATGTAGTACATTTTAGTATTTGTGTATCCTTCTAGTACGAATTTGTACGAATATTCATTATCACCGCCCGTTTTTCACAACATCGAAAGTTTAAGAACACTTCACTAAATCATTCGCTGTTGTATAGGTCATACAGGCATGTCACGGATTCCGATCGTAATGTTTTCAATTCCATATTTCCATTTGATCGTTTTTGTTTTACATTTTCTAGACTCCGATTGATTTTTTTAATTCCGAAAACTGAAAGTTATTTCAGAGTGTTTTTAAGTGAAATGTTCTGAAACTTACAAAATCAAAATTGGTTTCATTCCGAAAAAAATCGTTTTCTGAAGAAGCTTAATACAGAACTAACTCCGCTTTCGATTGGAAATCATTTCTGTGAGATGTCTGATAAATACTAAATTTCGGTTATATGTCTCTACTTTAAGTGCAAATTTTAATCCATTCTGGATTTATCATTCATTATGTAATTTACTAAATTTGAGTTACCGTTATATCGGGGCTGCCCTGAAACTTGGGTCAATATTAATAATTTTTGATACGGATATGTGTTATTCAAAGATAACCCAAAATACCAAATTACAGACAGTGCGGATGGAAAACGTGTTCAAAATCCCATATAAAGGTATTCCCCAATTCTCGGTATTTTAGACAGGGTCTCCAGTTGAATTGGCTGTAATTTGATACTTTGGTTTCTCATTATAAATCACATCTCCGTATCAAAAATTATTAATATTGACCGACGTTTCAGGGTATCCCTCATATAACGGTACCCCCAATATTCGGCGTTCTAGAGATCTTGGATACGGTTTTCCACCGAATTGGCTGTATTTTGGGTTCCCATTGAATAATATATATCTGTTCCAAAAATTATTAATATAGACCCAAGTTTCTGGGTATCCCCCATATAACGGTACCCCCAATATTCAGTATTGTGGATATTTTTATTTTTTTTTCTGTATGTTCAAGTTCCTATCATATCATGAGTTTTCTCCTAGGAGGCCCTATTAATTTTAGATATTTTGATTATTATCCTCATGTTCTGCCGAACTTAACATTGATTTTAACTTGTTAATTATAATTTCCAAAAAATATTTTTGCATCTCGTTTTATTTTGTAATAGCTTAAGCTACATATTAAGTTTCAGATATCCATTTCTACCGGTTCCTTTGTAATATAATATTTAGTACTTGTTAGTACCTTTTAGTAAAAATTTCTAAATTTTTTTCCGGAGTTCTACTTCGTACTGTTGCCAAGTAATACACGTAATTTTTAGTACATTTTAGTATCCTTTAGTACCAATTTCCGTCTTATCACAGACATTTCGTCTGGACGTGATGGTCAGTCAGTAACTTATAAAGCAGTTTTTGTTTTATATATAGAAGAAGATACGTTGGCTCTGACATCGATAATGTGTTGATTTTATCCGAAGATGATAACTGTAGTCTTTATAGATGATTGGCTAATACTTAGAGAATGACATTGTTCAAAACCAATAGAATTATGATTTTATCTACAGAAGGCCTCTGCTGGCCATAGACATCCTTTGATTACCTTAGAAGAATACTTCTAATCATAGAGACCTCTGATGTTCTCTGCCATCTGCAGAAGAACTCTGATATATACATCAGATATCTTTCTTTGTTGGAAATCTCTATCTTCTGTGGATAGTAGAGATATAGCGGGTAGCACATGTTATTTAGTCTATGGATATACCTATAGAGAATAGTGATTAGCAATGGTCTTCTATGCTAGCCATAGAAGGTTGTTAGTTCTGCTGCTCTCTAGTAAACCTCACTAACCATAAAAGACGTGGGCAAGCCACAGAAAGTCTCTAATTATAAATATGTCAAAATAGTTTCAAATAGGTTTGGATCATATCTATTGAAATATATAGTCGAGTTAGCCACGGACACACGATTGTCTGTCTATAGATATACCATCCTGTCTATAATCCATATATTTTTGATTATATCGGTCCAATATTGATCGATTTTGCATTTTCTCTAATTACCTCCTAAAAGTATGCTCTAAATTTGGTAATGCATTGTGTAATAACGACTTATATTTTCCGTCATTATTTCCGACCCTATAAATTATGTAGATTCTCTGTCCGGGTAAATAATGGTAAAATATCTATTACGTTTTAGTACCCTTATAGTATGAATTACAATTTTGCACATCGCATCATTTTTTATGCAAAGACCTGCCTTTATAGTGAAGATTTCCATTAAAATTGCACCATCAATGAAATTGTCGGTATTTTTAGTATATCCTCATAATAATGATCCAGCCCATTTATCATTACATCAAAAGGTCAATGCAGTATAATATATTTCCAGTGTGGTTGGAAATATCAGTACTATTATTTTAGAAAATTTTTGATCCATGTGGAATTAGAAACTATATTTCATATAACCGTTAATAATTTTTAGTAAAAATGTTTGAAAATTATTTCCATAAAATTTTGTTTTTGCAAAATAGTCAGGCTGAATCCCAGTTTGTTGTTTTTATAAAAAACAACTATTTATTAGTGGGGTATATATGGCATTGTTTGCGGAGGGGTAAGGCAGGGAAGACTATAGTTTCGGATCACGCCACTGATCCTCATCAGTTCCCTTAGTTTTTTGTTGGGATATTCTCCCCAGAAGCTATTGCTTCTATACAAAAAACCTTTCATACCCAAATGTCTCTTGTAACAAAGCGAAGTACTTAGCTGACCAACGACATAAACTGCATGAGAATTTCGCTGGAGCCTCACTTCGAGGTTAACAAGGCATTTACAAACAATACCACACCTTTCCCACTGTTGTGTGTTGTCACATCGCGACAAATGCACACAACGACTTTGTTGGTGTTGCTAGTGTACAGCAACAAACCAAACAGTTTAACCGTGCCTGCGTCTACAACTTCAGTAGTGTTGGCGGTTTGTTTGGGATACCATTTGTATTTTGTTTTTGCAAAATAGTCAGGCTGAATCCCCATTGAATCCCAGTTTGTTGTTTTGTTTTTTCCATAAAACATTTTATTTGCCATAGTCAATGAGTAATACTAAAATTCGGATATCTTTCTCTAACCTTTTCTATTTAGTACTTTTTACTACAAATTAAAAAAAAAAACTTTTTTAATTTGTTAAAACAAAATATACATATAAAATTTCAGGACTCTACCTCTACTCGTTCCGTCGTATACAATAATTATTACTTTAAGTACAAATGTCAAACAAAATTGCCAAAAGCATTGTTTTTTTATAGAAAAAGCCTTATATCCAAATTCTATAACCAACCGTACCTAAAAAAATGTACTAAAAATACAACACATTGTATACGGCACAAAGTGTTGTACTTTTTAGTACATTTTATAACATATTAATGCAAAATATTTATGTATAAATTGTTATTGTCATAGTTCCAGATAATTATTTAATAACAAGTTCCTATCTTCATCCATTCTACCGTACACAATATTTAGTACTTATATTCGATTCGTATTCTATTTGTTTATAATATACAAAATATACAAAAAATATAAGAATTTCAGAATTATACTTTTTCCCACACTGTGCAATATTTTGTATTTTTAGTGCCATTTAGTACGAATTTTCAATAAACCATGCCTCTTATTTATACTAATAGTTGGACATTTTTGTACTCTAAATTTACATTTATATTTTTTACCATTCGCTGTGGTACAATATTTAGTACAATTTTGTGCTTATCGATCTATTTGTAATAGTTAAGCGACATATTAAATTTCAGATCTCAATCTATAACTTTTCCATTACAAGTTAATATGTTGTACCATTTTAGTACAAATTTCAAAAAAGATATTAACGGCTGAAGTTAGAATCTTGAAATTTTGGGTGAGGGTCACTCTTGGTCCAAATGTGACAGATAAGGCTGGGTTTTTGGAAATTGGTACCAGAACGGTACGAAAAGTACTAAAGAGTACTAAATGAGATACTATTTGTATTTGGCAAACCGGTGGAGCTAGAACTCTGAAATTTGGTTTGGTGGTCGTTGATGGAGTGTAGGATAGATGTACCAAAGAGTTTTTGGAAATTCGAACTATTACTATCCGAAAAATACGAAAATGTACTAAATTTGGTACAATTATGTAGCATGTGAACGGATAGCGCTAAAAACATGAAATTTGGAGTGTGAATTAAAGTTGAGAAGTAGGGTACATTTAAGGAGATGGTTTTGTACTCATGTGTACGAAAAGTACTATATGGTACTATATTTGGTACAAATTTAATTTGGAGATACAAATCGAGCTGGAATCCTGGAATTTGAAATTAAAATTACCGTCGGAGTGTACGATTGGGATATGAACGTAGTTTTGGAAATTTGTTTCTTATGTGTACTAAAAGTACTAAATCGTACTATAATGGGTACAGTTTGGATTTGGGTGAACCGATAGAGCGGGAACAATGAAACTTAGAGTCAGGATCACTGTAGGGGTTTGGGATTGGGGTCAGGATTCAGTTTAACAATTGGTACAATTTGA